TGTATAAGAGACAGCTCTTATTCAGTGACAGGAGAAGCCAGTGAAGACAACAGCTTCTTTCTGTAGAAGGAAAAAAAAAGTTAATTTGGGACAAGCTAATTTTCTTCAGTTTGACAATTCAAAGCCCCTCTGTCAGTCTGCTGTCTATCCTCTCCAAGAGCACCTGTGTGGCTGGAACACTGCTGGCAGCCTCCCCAAGCAGGGGACTCCTGTCCTCTACCAAGCAGTCTGGTTTCAAATAAGGAACCATCATTACTGCAGTGGTATCAATGAGATGGGATGTTGTACCAGAGAGGGAGGTGAATGTGACCCTTTCAGCTTAGTGGTACTAGTCAACTGTGATGTAGATACTGTATTTAACTAACTATTCTGGAGAAACGGATCACAATCTTCTTTCAGCTCTTCAGAGAGAAGAGCCCACACCCCCCAGAAGCTCAGTACAACTGGTATTTTCACTGGCAGTTTCTTCAGAAGCCCAGAAATGACAATGCCTGGAATATGGCTGTCGTGCCATGGACAAATCTTCATCCACATTCAGGCGAAGGTACATGAAGAGCTGTGCAAAGAGGAAAGCAGTGCTTACCACATCCTGCTTCCCTGCACTGATGTATTACACATCATTACCAAATCCCAAGGGAAAAATGAAACTCCAGGGAACAGATTATTCTTGTTGTTAATTGCAAAGTACTTGTCATGTGATTCAGCCTACAGATTGCCACCAGCATGAGGGGTTTTGTTTTTGCTGCTTTTGAAAGAGCTTGTTTAATGCTGCAACACCATTCACAGCAGCTCTGGGACCAGAGAGCAATCCTATCTGCTCAACATAGCTCTGAAAGATCCCTGTGCCTGTTTCTAAAACAGAGGCTCCCACTCATGCGCACCGCTGCAGAATGTTAATGCAAAATCTGTACTGGTTTAGAGCAGCTGGTCAGTCAGAGGAAGAGGGAAAACCTAAGGGTCACTCTTTCTACCCAACATGGAGCTTAAGGCCTTGAAATGCTCCATGCTGGAATCCAGGTCAAACTGTTTACACAAAGTGCCTGCTCTGGCTGCTGCCTCTTGGAAGGACTGTGGGGCCCACATGGCCCTTCTGGCTGGAGTACTTCCCCCTCCTAATGCAAATCAGGGAAGGGAATAAGCACAGTTTGAAATAAAGTTAAAATAATCAGTCTCTCCAGATGCTGTCTGCAGCTATCTGTTTGACAGCCAGTTTCTACCATCTGCTGAGTCTCTTTTGACTATGAAGCCCAGCACTACAGAAAAATAAGAGTTTAAGCGACTGGGAACAACTGTTCCCTCAAGGGCACATTCAGTTTGAGCTCTCTCTTCATATGTCACAAGTTGACTGTGTGCTGCCACTTGCTGAGATGTTGGAGGAAGTCTGAGACAAGGGGGCAGGACTGTCCCCATCCTGCTCCCTGAAGAGCCATGCCTCTCTCTTCAGCTCAGTAGAGGGACTAACACTGAACAGAGGCTTTGGAGACTCTAGCAGAGTATTTTTCAGTACATCATCTTCCACCTCCATTTCTTCAGAAGGGAGACAACCTGCAAACACTTGTGAGGAGTCATGTCCCTCAGAGTTCACTGAATTCTCAGCTGGGAGCTTTTTGTAATGTAGCAGCTCAGGCTGGGCCAGCACTAATGGTTGATTACGTGATGGATCTCTACACGTGTTCTCAACAGGGCAAAACCCATTCTCCTCCTGGGCCACTGGCCCATCTGAACAGTCCATATCCTCCTCTTGTCCTGGTACAGGAAGAAATTCTGGCCTGTGAGACTTGGCTTGAAAGGGGGGAATCTCTGACACACCATATTTACTGCTACTCAGGAGTTTTTGCCGAACCTCTGCACCTAGCTGGGTTGGGTCACACCTGCTGACAGTTGAGGACAGTCCCCCAAACAGGCCGTATTCCTTGTGCGGCAATTCAGGAGAGAGAGGAAGTGATCTGCATCTCCTCCCAGGGAGAAGGGAGAACTCTTGCCAGTCTGTGCTATACGCCTGCCGGATCTGGGACTGGCTGGCTCTCAGGCCTCCACCTGCCTCTGGAGAATGCAAGTCAAACACCAGGGAAATCACAGACTTGCTTGGCATGTCAAAGAATTTGATCTTCCCCCCCTTGAGGTCCTCCCGGGCACTGAAGGGATTAACTTTCCGGCCTAACCCTTTGTTTGGCGTATAGTAGGGGTCCTGCACATTTATCTTCCTGGAAGGCTTGCGGGAAAAGATATCTGACTGGCTGCGTGACAACCAGATATTCCGACGTGGACGGGGTGACTTGGGTGGGATCTTATCATCCAGAGAACTCAAACGTTTTACTCCAGGTCCTTTCTCAATTGACCCTGAGTAGAAGAAAAAAAATACTCTTAGGTTAAAGGAACTATATATGAGCATGTCTGCTCACTCACAGAGCCTTCACAACAACTGTAAAGAAAAAGCTGTATTTCTGATGTTCCAAAGTATCTTCCATAAGCACATGTCTGCTTATTCCTTACAAGTTCCTGCACAAACACAAGTACACTGTTCTCTTCTCCTCAGTGTATTACTGGTTTCAAATGTGGAGATTTGGCAGCCCTGTCCACAGGACCTTTTAAATGTAAGGCAGTCAAAACTTTCTCTCTTGCCTCATACTTAAGTTATCTTGAAGACTTGAGGAAAAGCAAGTTCAGTTAATGCCATTTTACTTCTCTAGGCACTGAAGCTGGACTGCTGCTTTATCATTTCATGATCAAATTTGCCACCCACATTACAGGGGATGCTACTTTGGCAAGACAATAATGTTTTCAGAAAAAAAACAAAAAAACAAACCCACAAAAGGAAAGGAAACAAAGTTTGGTAGGAATGAGGAAGTCTTTCCCTCTTCTATCCAAACCCTGTATTCTAGGGCCCCTTCAAACCTCCCCACTGCCAGTACACTGACAGAGCAGAGATGGCACAGGATGGTCTTGGACCAGAACAATTCACACATTTCTAGATTTATCATCTTGGCTTCCAGCAGAGGTTGCCCAAGATCTGTTGATAATACTGAGCATAAGAGAGAACAAGTAAAAAACATAGTTGCCAAAGGAATTGGGACTTTTGTGCTCTGATGGGAAAAGTCTAAGACTGAAATAAATACCCCTCCTGACACATGAACATGAAGAGTTTAAATCATTCCATCTCAGCCTTCATTCAGTACATTATACAATACAAAAACTAAGGATATATGGAGACTTTGTCTCTAATGAATAGGAGTTAAAAAGTTGTACGCATGCATGTATGTGTATATTTATTTTCACACATATGCACGCACACACATAAAAAAAATAAAAGCTTTCTCACTAGAACAGGATGGGAAAATTGTAGTTGTTTAGGAAAAGATGCTGACTCCTTGAGTGTTTGGAACATGCATCTGCCATTGGCTCTCAAGGTACCTCTGAAGAGCTGTCATAGAGGAATAACAAATGGATACAAAGAAATATGTCCTTTTGATTATAATTTCCAGTATAATTTCATACAGATTTCCACTTTTCCCTTTAAATACTGGCAGAGTTTAGACTACAGTCACTCCACCTAGGAAAGGCTACGCAAGTCAAAGAACAGCATGTAACACTTCTCCAAGAAGATGCAAATCTGACATGTACTCCAAAGGGAGAATGCCAGGAAAATGAAAAGGAAAAAGAAAATCAAAATCCCAAACAAGCAAAAATTTTTCTTTTTAGCTCACTCCTCTTTTAGGTACTTTCCAGGTGTGGGAGAAGTACTACATGCATACACTCCATAGGGTTTGAAATACAGAACTTATTTCAATCTATAACCATATTACAGATAGATATGTATATATAATGTGTATTTATATATACACAATGAGAAACTATTTTTACTGTACTCTAAGATTCCAATGCCAGAAGTTTACAAACATAAAAGATACCCAAGTCAGAATATGCCCCAGCCTACAAGAACTGCTTGCAGTTTGCTCCCCACACCAGGTGGCACTAGACAGCTTTAGAGAAAGCCCTTCAAGGCCAGCATTCCCAAGCAAATCTGGGATTCATCTTTTTTCTAGTCTTTCAGGGTATTTCTAGATATTTTATAATACTTTTGCATCTTCTTTGCTCTTCCTCCTGAAGGAATTTAAGAAGGAAGGAAGGAATTTAAGTGTTACGTATAGCATATACCAAAGAAATTATGTATATGCACTAAGTATGGCAGGGACAAAGCAAAAGTTGATGGATTTTTACATATTATTAGGAATTTACAAAACCACTTCCAAATGAACTCTGTATTTCCCCTCAAGAGCGTGAAGGCAGAATCTTTTGAGGCACTTTAAGAAACAGTTAGCTGTTTTTTTTCCCTGAAGGACACTGCAGTGCAAAATATACAGCATTGTTCCAGAAAAAAATTCAGGCTTTGAATAAAATCATTCGAACTATAAAATAATAGCATATACAGCTGAGATACCAGTCTTCAGAATCTGAAGCATTTTATCCTCTTGCTATTAGCCTGCAGCAATGTTTGTACAATACAGGCACTTACCTTTGGGTTTTCTTTCACTGTTGTCAAGGTTCAAAAACTTCCTCTCTCTCTCCGAGTCTTCATTTCTCAGGCGGTTTAAAATCTCATCCAGTGTTTTGACAATATCAGCAAATGAAGGACGCAACTTTGGATCCATCTGTGAATACACACAAATCATATCAGCTCAAGTGGGTTTGTTCATGCTATTCTGCACAGTGGATGGAGGGACAGTCTGAGGGAACTGAGGAAATTCAAGACCATTTTAAGCAGCATGTTGTCACTGCAAAAAACTGAAGTAAAGAAGAGGAAAAGTAGTATCCTGTCCTAGTTTATGTCTCTTATACCTCTCACATCTAATTATAAAGTTGTAAACATTCTATGAAGAGGGTGCATTTTAAATTGAAAAGGTGGGAAGCTCTTAGATTCAGGGCTTGTGAGGGAGGGTGGTTTGTTTTAAACAGCTTTCGCAGTTCAAGGATTTCTTTCTGGACTCCATTTACCAGTCAGAGATTATATATCAATGCTATTTCAAAACGTGCCTGAAGCAATACGGATTAAACAGAACAAGTTGGCTATGTCATTCTTTAAAAGTCCGTAATTCTTCCATCATCTCATTGTGGCTTTAATTAACACACACATAAATGGCATTGCTGATTTTAAAGTTTAAAATGTTGTATCTTTCAATCTGTTAATAAGCCTTACGGGTATACTGGTCTGTCTTGTAAGAAAGCAAGATTGGTTACATAACTTGACAAAATACTACAACAGAAAAAAATCCATTTTTGCCCAACTAAAACATCTCTCCCCTAGTCATCAATATGTATTCAAACATAATAATGTTTGTATTTATCAGTATGTATTTATTTATTCAGCTAGTAGAAATGGATCTCAAAGCCCAACACAAGCAGCTTAATTTAAGTAGTAACTTAGAGGGCATTTCATCATTTTGAACAGCGACCCTGTATATATGTTACAGGTTTTACTACTGTAGGTAGCACTGTCTAATTCAACAGTTTAAAATTAACCTCATTACACTATTAAAAAAGATTCCACTTGACCCGATTCCTGTTTCCAGCCTTCTAAAGGCTTTTTCAAAGTGAACAAGCCCAGACAGATCTCACCTCTAGTACAAAGGGAACAGTGGTGCTTTGTACACAACAAACCCTAAAGACCTCCCTAATTCTGCCTCACAGGTCCTATAAGATGCATCTTTCTGAAGATAACTTGTATGAGCAGCAATCCCAGAACACCTTCTAACAACACAGGGTAAAGGGCTAAAAATTCATATGTACAGTAACAAAAACCAAACAAATCACACCTGAAGAGCTCAATTTCCAGGCATTTCCTAGCACAGCAAAACATCTTTTTCTGCTTTCCCCATTGCGCTGAAAGTGTAGAGCCGGGGCAACACCAAAGCACACACTCTGTACTCTCAGAAATTTACTAATTTGGGAAGTTTAGGGAGCTTCAGGAAGTAAAAGAGCTCTCTGGCTATTTTAATTTGTGCTAGGTAAGATCCAGGACAAGAGCAGCAATGGAAGAGTGACCGAGAGAAACATTTGACTCTTCCATCCCTGAGCAGTCCAGATTCTGCTCAAATGGAATAGAAGGTTCTTCCTCAAGGCAGTAGTTGCCTACAGCTCAGCTCGTGCTGGTAAGCCTTTTGCATGATCATACCTGTTAACATTTATAAGTATTTGCACAAGTAGACTTACAGTTGTTGGAGCAGATTTATAGTTCTTGGGGATCCTTAAATTTTAGGCTTCCTTGCATGTACTACTTTAAAAAACACTTTATAACAGCAAATTAAAGAAAATTTAATCTACTACTCATACATGTCAGTTTTTATTGGTTTTCTTAGGTTGCCCTAAAACATGTTTCCTGGCTGTAGAAAACCCCAGGGCTTTGCAGATTAGTTCAACTAATCAGCTGAGCTATACAGTTTACACTGTCTGTTGACCTGTTAAATAGTAAAAAGCTATATAAATGTCCTTGTCTACAAGCAAATTATCACACAGATCACCTACTACTGAAGCACAGCCTGCTTAGGAAGATGTAAGAAAGCCTTACCTGTTCACCACCTTTTTCCTTCTAATAGGAAAGTGAATTACACCATGCCCAACACTGAAATTAGCATGTGAATGGTTTGATCACAAGACAGTAATTTCCACTTTCAATTCAGGGAAGGGACATTTATTATACAAGAGGTAGCATTTGACAATAATCGGTAGGAGAAAAACCTTTTTTCTCTGAACACATCAAATTCTTTTATCAGTCACTTGCCCCTTTTTCATGAGTAGTTTTACTGTGAATTTTACCTGTTCTGAAAAATAGCTTTGTATCACACACCATGTGTTTGGATGCAGTACACTTTCTGGAGTCTACAGGTGATAGTTGAGATTTCCAAAGTCAAATCCTACTTTTAGCCAAACTCTTTAGTGCTTGCATAATCAAAACACTTCATAAACATGAGTCAGATATACCACTGTCCTGGTGAAGCAAGCTCCACTATACTAAGGTGAAATCAGAGGAGTGAAATAGCTTGTCCAGAGTTAAGTTCCACCAGCATTTTTAGAATTAAATTATGCTATCTTGTGTCAAGAGTGGCAGTCACGCCCACCTGCTCACATTCTCACCTTTATACTGCTCTCCCCTTCAGCATGTGCATTTGTGCTACTACAAAGTAAAGAGAGTTCAGGATAAAAATAAGCACCAAGAGTATGGAGAGATGAGGATTCTTACAAACAACTTACTTGCACACAGTGCTGGCACTGGCTCCAGCATGGCCTGGTTGTGGAGTCAAGGGGAAAAGTTTTGTGCAGTTAAATATTTTGAAGTTGTCTCAACTTAAATTGTGCAAACTGGACATGCCCAACTTCAGCTGAATCTGGTAGAAGCTCAGGTTCTCTTACTTCATATAAACCAGTTTACTATAAAGGTACTAGCAACCTCTGTTGTGGTATAACCCACAAGAGAGATGTATTTTGGAATTTTCACAGTGAGGAGTCATGAAGGTATTCAGCACTATCAAAATTTTACTCAAATACTTGGCAGAAAATTTACTCCATACAACACATTGCCTATAGCCTTACTGATACTAAACCATTTGGGTCCAAGTTTGTTTTTTTGGAATACAGGCTAGGGATTTAGAGGATTATCCCTTTCCAAAATGTAGCATATAGAAACTTCAGCATAGTTTAGTGCCTGCTCTTGATTTGTTTGTTCCCTCTGTTTGTGAGAGCAACGCAGAATTCCTTCTTCACAGCTCAGTAGGTCTGTGCACAATAACAGCTGGATTCTGTCAGCCTGAGGGCCAGCCAGTGTCAATAGCATACAACTGGTTATGATCAGCCTGAACAGCCTGCAAGAAGTTGTTCAATGTGCCAGACCTGTTTGTTTGGCACAACAGAACACAGAATTGCAAAAACACAAGATACACCTTTTTTGCAAGGGGAAGGGAAGGGTTATAAAAACTGCAAGGGACTTTCTGGGTTATCAGAATGTATGCTGCTTTTATAGGTAGGCTCTTCAAGTCTCTTCTGTAAACGTGTTAAGCTCTGTCTTCAAAAGCCAGAGGGATTTGGAGCACTCCAGTTTAGGATTCTCCCCTTCAAGTAAGATACTCACATTACAGCAGTTGAAGGCCAGCTGGAGGAAGTCAGGGGGACAGTCTCCCACCATGTGCTGGAAGGCATCATAATCTAATCCAAAATTCTGTACAAAAAAAAATACAGCATAGAGATATAAACAAAGTCTCCTATCTGGCCCAAAGCATCTTCTTTTCAGGGGGTCCCTACATTGAGTTATTGGGAATAACCATGAACACCATCTCTCAGCAGCTACACACAGAGGATTTTGAGAAAACTTCATGCACGCTCTGAACTGCAGCATTCCCAACAGGGATTACTTGATACAAGATACCTGTAAGAGAATGAGCTGACTTCAAAAAGCCCACACTTCTTCCTGGACTCAACTCTAATCCATTGCACTTGAAATGCTGCCCATGTGAATCTGGAAGCAATATCTTATACTGTGATATTTCACCATGGTGACTTTCACAGTGTAAATTAACAGTCTGCTATAGAACCAGGGGCTTCACCATGATGAATATTTCAATTAAAATGGTTAATTTTTCAGTAGATGATAGACTGGTAAAACAGATCTCTTATTTACTGCAGTTCAAGACCTAAGAAATTTTGCCTTTTCAGAACCAGTCGGATAGACAATTTGGAAGACCCCACCAACAGAGGGCCAAAAGCTGCCCTGCATAAGGGACTCAAATAAAAGTCAACTGAGGAATGCAAGAAGTATCTTGTTTGACTAGTTGATTCTAGCTCAGATCCACAGTGCTTAGCATAGTCTATACAAAAATAAGGGTGAGCTTATTTTAGCTGCTGCTAACACAGCTCCTGCCCCTTTCACAAGGAGGGGCTGCTTAGTGGATGCAGTGTGCCAAAAGTGCTCTGTTCTGAATCTGGCAAGAAGTCCACATGAGCTATCACTCTACAAAAGGAAGGTCACTGCAATGCTCTCAATGTTCTGCCAGTTAGGGGCAGAAAGGATTTCCCATGAGGATTGCAGCTGGACAGTCTCTGTGAAAGTGTCTTCAATGGAGCTTCTTACAATAACAGTACAGAAGAACAAAAGCCTTTTACAGGCTATTTTTAATGTAACACCTATTCATCGTATCTTTGGCAGCAGTGCCAGAAGTTCTAAAGGCCAGCCATTATCATGGCATACTTACCACCACCCACCAATGTTATAAACATAACCACTTACCTCTGTGCGAGGGAGATAGTCTGGATCTGCCTGTATTCTTGCTATAATCTCACACAGAATTATACCATAGGAGAACACATCCGCCTGAGAGAGAAAAAAAAAAAATAGCTACATGGTTCAGCTATGAATACTCAGCATTCTTATCTGCCACTGAGTTTCTCCTTACCCCAAATGGTTATCGTGAAACAACTAAACCAACACCACAGACTTAAAACACCAAGTAACTGCATTATAGCTAACACTTTCTATGTGAAGAAACACATGCTCACAGTGAAGCATTCTTGTTGCACAAACAGCAATGATAACTTTAAAACTCTTGAAAAAAGAAAAACACCCCACCAAATCACTCGTAAATCAGCAGTGTAAAAAAACCCCTTCCTTGCATAAAGAATGGTGAAGTTGCATTTGATGTCTTACAGATGAGAGTAATTAAAAACATAGCCAAAACATGACATACCTATATGTCACTGTGGTTAGAAAGTTGGGTTTAGAATGCACATTATCAGAGTTTATTCAGAACATTAATGCTGTTACGCTCTTTTTAAGAAAAATTACATTTTTCTCTCCTCACAGTTCAGTACCTCTGTAGAAAACAGTGTCTATCCCAAAGCCTGAAATCTCTAGTAACACTGTATACCAGTATCAATTTCCATTGAAATTTCCATGACACTTAGTAATCACTTATTTAACTAGCCCGGAATTGCACAGTTCCTCAGATTTCCACCCACCTGAATTGATCATGTAATAAAATTTAGGGAAACATAGAATAAAAGTCTACAGAGCAGAAGTTGGCATCCCTCATCCCTTACATATCAGTCAGGTGTATAGGTCACCTTTCATGCTGATGACTTATGAGACTTTCTTCTTCTTTAGTCTTCCATGTCCTAGGATTAGTGAATAATGTGGCACCATAGATTTGGGTACTTTATTATTAATTTGGGTCAACTGGAACTCTTAAAAAAAGCTTTGAAATGGTAATTATTACATTAATTACTGAGGTAGCTACTGCTTTCCTGCAAGTTAAAAGTATCACCAATTAAATAGATTATTGACTACTACCTATAAAAAGGTACAGGATGTGGGCTTTATTACAGAAAAGCTGCATTTGCAGGGCTGAAGTACACAATGTTAGACATGGGAGAGAAAATCCCATGTAAAGAAGAGCTTGATTGAAAATACTTTTTCTAAAATCCTGTGTGATCTGATCCTCCTCTGAAGGAAACATTTACCAATGCCACAAAGAAGAAAACTTAGAAATACTTTTGGAGAACATTTTTCTTCAGGTATCTTGAGAATGTTAATTTTTTTAAAAATTTAAAATAACTGTACAAGTTTACATAGAAACCTTTTATTTCTACCCAGATTTCACTAACGTATAGTCAAGGAAGCAATCTTACATTTCTCATGAGACTTCATTAAATTATGTTAGGTCAACAAGCCATTACTGTATTTCTGCATGTGGGGCATTTCAGAATGAAAATAGCATAACAGTGAATAATGATAAAGGTATTTCATCTTATGCCATTAATTACTGAACTCACATACTCCTTTAGTCTGAATGATCTACTGAGTACAGTAAGGTCACAAATGAAAATAACAATTCTAACATTATGGAAATTCTAAAACTTGTATAAAGCCATTGAAGAGAAACATCTGACTAAAGTCCACTTACATCATGTGCCTTACCTTTTCATTGTAAGGTTCATCTCTCAGAACTTCTGGTGCCATCCAGAAGGGTGAACCCACCACTGGTAACTTCTCACTATATAGATATGGGATAGATGGAGGAAGGGTGTAGGGGGAGAGAGAGAAGAACACTCAGGCACTGCTATTATCTTTCTAAGTATCTGCAGAAATTTTCACCAGTTGATGTAAATGGGTTCCATAACATACTGTATTCTACACTGGTTTCCTACTGGAGTCACTGGAACATTCAATAGCAGGTGGAGAAGGTAAAAGAAGAAAGCTTCAATAAATTAGTCATATTCTACTTCCAGTTTCTAAGTGCCTGACCACTTTTTTCTCTCTCTTTTTTTTTTTTTTTTTTTTTTTTTTATTTTAAGGTCACAGCTGTTCAATAGTTTTGGTTTCCACACTCTTGGCAGAGTTGGCTCCATCTATGCATAGTAGGGTTTGTGGACATCAGTTTCAGGCTAGATGTCAAGTTCTCCATTCATGCAACAAGACATACAGGTATTCACCCCTACATGTATACCAATAAGCAGCTCTAGAAAGTATTCAACACTGACTGCTTGCAAACTGTGTTTTTTAAAAAAAAAGTCGATGGACCAGAGGAATCCTTTAATAGAGAAAAATTCGAAGTAATCAGAAGAGAGACATTTTGAAATATCTGTAAGGTTTCCACATGGCTGAATACTGGCACGTTAAGAAAGGCCTCCAGCTTGCCACCCAGCTGACCTTGAAGGGATACCCTTTTATTTTAAAAAAAAAAAAAAAGTCTCTGAAGGCCTCAAAATAGCATGGCTTGTTAGTCAGCAAACTAGAAACCACAAAACTGCATTTGAAAATGGATGTAAGACTAGATCAAACAAAAATGGTGGCTAATTTAACAATTATGTTTGTTTTAGTATCAAGTTTTATCAGTTTTCAGGGCATCTCGACACTGGATATTAAGAACCATCTTAAGGCACCTGTGATGCCTTCCTGATTTTGTGATGAATTTGTACAAACAGCTGAAGCTTTCAGCACCTTAAAGGGTAGAGATTCCACAGGAACATACAAGATACATATTGGCTGTACTTATCAGTAGTTTCAGAATTAAGATGTTCACTTTGTTAAGCTTTTAGATCAGTATTTCATCAACATTAATGCAAGCCTTCAGACCTCCCAAGGTATGGTTTTAGGATATGTGTGGTTTAAAAATAGTGCATAGCTGAGACCAAGTTTTATTGTTTTCTTTGTAGTCAGAAGAGCTGGAAGGCTTTTATTTTATGCAGAATTACACACTGAAGAAAATCTGACAGCACATTTCACAGTATACTCTGAAATACACAAGTCAATATACAGAGAGAACAATGAAATTCTTGTCCTTGATCTCCCTAATGGAGGAAAGACAAAAGGGCTATTTCCAATTGTGACAATAGCTTGTGACAGTCTCCTGTGCATTCCTCAAATGATTTAAGATTATAATTTCATCCTAGGGAGAGCAAAATGGTGAGCCATTGTTAGACAGTAATTTTAATATCTCTTTGTTATAAACCTGGATCTTAACAACCTGGAGATTAAAGAGAATAATACTGGAATGCCACTGAATATTGTTTGTGAAAATAGCAAGAAGTAAGTACCTGCTTAGAAGATCTACTGAAAAGCTTGAGTAATTTTTATACTCACTGAAGCATTTTTGAAAGAATAAATGTCACCACTAATTCTATCAATACGGACAGTAATTAAAGCTAGAACATTTTGGTCATCCAGCCTGCAGTTCTAGACCAAAGATATTTTTTCAATTATCAGAATGCAATAATGGCTGCAGGGATCTGGCTCATTAAATCTCCTGGCCTGCAATCGCACTGCAATTCTCACTATATTTTGATTAGTTCACATACCTGTGATCAGGAATTTTCTCTGCTAAACCAAAGTCTCCTACTATTGCTGAGTATCCGTTCTCATCATGTTTTATTAAGCAGTTCTGGAATTTAAAAACAAAACCAGAAAAGTTATTGTCTGGGCATGAAACCCATATACCATTCATTTTATTTATTTCTAATCTGGAACAAGACTACAAGATATTGTTTGTAAGATGTTCATCTATGAGAAGCTTTCGTCTGAAAGCAACCACCCTTTTCCCCTACCCTCCCCCCTGCACAATCACGTGTCTGTCAAACTTAAGATGCTGCAAACAGCCTTACACTTAGTTAATAATCCACTTAAAAACTTGCTGTGAAAGCAGGCAGCCACAGGCAGCATGCACCCGCTAGGTTCCAGCAAGAATTAATATGATTTAGCTCCCTTACTGCTCAAGTATGCAATACATGCTGTTCACTATGACACCTTACATTTTCTCTTTACAATTTGCCTGTACCTGACCAGAATACAAGATCAGAGCAGACTCTAAATACCTTTGTATATTTTGCTACATTAACCACTAAAAAGGAACTCATTGCTTTGCAGTAACTTTAATCAGAAAATGTGAGATATGACGAAGTTACATGTGCTTTTAAAGTCTCAAATAGAATTCTTTATTGTACAGTACATCATAAAACATGATTGAAGGGAAAAGGTGTCAATCTTTTTCTTTCAGATGTGCCCTCCAGTGTCAGGAGGGAGGGCAATTTAAGGACACAGATATTTCTGGTCTGACAGCATCACATCACATGCAAGGTATTATTGATTTATTTTTGTTATTTATTTACAACTCAGAAATATTCTTTGTTTCACTACCCCATCTTTTCCCTTCTCACTGAATGAATCAATAGCTGACTTCCCGGTTTTTTTTCTGTCTTGCAATAGGTGGAGCAAGACAGAGAATTCATGCCCTTACCACATGCCTTGCTCTGTATCTTTCTGCAGGCAGTACAATAGCAGTGACAGGCAGCAAAACCACTGCTGACTCCTACAGAGTGGTACCCTGCATTAATTAGCTAAACAGCAGGAAACACTTTCTAGCTTTATTGTGCTTGGATGTACAAAAGCCCCTCGCTGACCCCGGAGCATTAGCTTGTCTGTATAATGCAACTACCAAGAAAAGTGAGTCCCTTGTCTAAAAGATCAAGTTCAGGTCATTGCTGTTTACATTATTCAGAGATGATTGTGGCTCAGGCCATGAAGTGAGTTTTCTTCCTGCCAATTAAAAGGTTAAGCAAGCTGCTCCTGCAATCATGTAAAGAAAATGTGTGCCAGCCTCTTGAAACACATGCTGGCTCCTGAGATGCAAACTTTTATTTATTTAGCATGACTCAAGTATAATAAATAGAGCTAGTATGGGGATTCATAAACATGTACCAAGTTAAATCAACCATGCTTGTCCAAAGAGCAGCAAAGCTTCTCAGTTACAGGCTTTGTTATCATTTATCAAAGAGCACATTCATTCAGCTTGCCTCTGTTTAAACATTTGGTCACTGTAAGTGGACTTAAAACTGAGAAGGATAAAACTTTTCAGAAAAATCTTACTCAAATGATTCAGACAAGTGGAATTTCATTGTGTACCACACAAACAAGTCCATGAGAACACCAGACATTTTGCATTGTACAAGAATGAGGGTACTATTTTATGCAACAAAATGTCAGGTTATTTTCTGCCATAGATTTCTCAGCAATTAAAGATGATTTGTAATTTGACATTTTTTTAAAAACCCCTCTATGATTCATAAAATAACTAGTTTTAAAGTCTAGATTTCCTTCTTGCATTACCTTTGTCTACTTACATTTTGTTCCATTTTGAGTAGGAAGACTACAGTAGTTCATTTTATCTTCTGTTTTTTGTGGATAAGGGTTATTCTCCCTGGTCTCCAAAATTTTAGGGGAACATATTAATCCAGACTAGGAACTACTTTCAACGTAACTAAAAATCTGTAGAAACATTTCTACCAACTTTAAGATCTGCAGTAATTTATAGGGCTGTTTTGATATCAAAAGGAGTTTTAAATGCAACATCATCCTGTCAGCAATTTTTCCTTCAGCTTCTTACCAATATACAATCACATCCTATTAGACAGCAATACATCACCAGTTGAAGAGGAACAATCTTACCCCCCACCAAGCCCCAGGCAGTCTCAGCTCTCAGGTACACAGCATCAAACTGTTATACAAGCAGATTATTCCTAGATAAATCATAAATTAAACCAATAGCACATCCAATCTAGCTGCCAAGTAATGCTACCTGATAGCTCTGAGCTCCTTCCCAGATGAGCAGGAGCCGCCCGCAGCAAAGCAGGGCTCCCTTTTACAGCAGGCCTTTCGAAAAACCAAACACCTGCTGCCGTGGAATCCAGAGGTCCTGCAGGAGAGGCCAGTACACCACGACAAGGCAATGGAGGAAAGCCTAGAACAACATTTCTGCTGTAAAGTACTGATCAATTGTTCTGCTGTGGTAGGCTGCACAATGTTAAACGACATAAAGAAGGAATCTAAACTATTCTCTCTCGTTAGTGGAAGTTCGTCTTTTGTCTGCATATGAAGAAATATAAGTGTGAATTTAAATTCATTAGAATACATATTCCAGTACAAGAGGGTCTTTTTTTAGTCACACTTAAATCAGACATGGGGAGGTGATATGCACCAGACAAAAAAATGACAGTGTCACTACAAATACTCACTGTAGCAAAACTAAACTATTTAATTCAACTGGTGCAATTTTTAATGTAACTATGCACCAATTTCCTAGAACCCAGAAAGGATGGAAGCCTATGCCAACCAACATCATCAATAAATCTCTTCTACGGATACTAGTGTGGTCAGGCATCACCTTTCAAGCCTGTACTGCTCATTCATCAGGACAAAGCTTTGCCGGTGACAATGTTTCATTTCGTGCTGAGATTCTCCAAGTGTTCAAGGCCAACCCTCAGCATCACCATACTTCTCCACCCTTCCCACCCTAGTAAAGCCATTACCCAATACTGCACCAAATCCACAGCACAGATGGTTTAGATAGCAGATTTAAGACGCAATTCATGAAAAGGTGACTTACACAGCCCACAGTAACGGGTAGTTCACGTGCACTCAATGCAAGTGCTTTTTTAAGCATTCATATTCTGCTGCCAAGACAAATTAAGACCAAAAAGGGACAAAGCTTCATTAGAGACTAAAAGGTTGATAAAGAGCTTTTAAACTTAAGCTAGAGGTGGTATCTTAGTAGGAAAAGTACAACAGAACATACTGCACTGTTTCTTCTGACAAAGTGATATTTCTTGTTTTCTACAAGAAAGAAAATGGGTTTATCAATTTGGTATGAAGAAGTTTCATTAATGAATTTTGGCATAGAGATACAAGAATTCAAGCCCCTCTCTAGTGCAAAAAGCCTCTCAAGAACTGCCTATGAGATGAAATGCCAAGCAGCTTTACAATACCAGCTTTAAGAAAATGCTTTCGACTTACTATTGCACTATTTGTTTAAGATGCAAGGCAATAAAACATGACAACCTTCCCAAGCTTTCTATTTGGACCTCTACAGACAGGGATGTTCTTTCCTTTGGCAGCTCACACAGTCAAAGAGGGCAGTATTTGACTTCAGTTGGGTTCTCGAGGGCTTTTTTTCCCTGAAATGGGAACCCCCATTGGTCCTTCCTGAAGCAGACTCTTAATAGAAGCAAGGAGCTCTGTACATGAGCTCTAAAGAGTTAACAGAGCTGTTTATGCAGAGACAGATGTGAAAGAACATAAAGCCCCCTTTGTGTGTTACAGGAGCTTAACATCTGCTTTGCACAGCATAATCCTACTAAGACAAATGCAATATTCTACTCTCCCTTTTACATAAACAAAAACGAAAATAGACTCAAGAGTTTGAGTTAAAAATAAGTTGCTTAGAAGAAGAAACTCCACCGTTTTATTTTACAATATGACATAGAAGCTAAACTCCTCAGGGATTTTATTGCACTCCAGAAAATACAGGAACGCTACTGCAGTGCCATTTGCAACCCTCTGATGACTGTTACTGAATTAAAATACTTAAAGGCCAATTGAGATGTATCAGCTGTTTTTAAAGTGCTATCCCCTAGGCAAAACACCATTGACAATTAAATGTACAACAGGAAGCTTACAATACTAGATACACTTTTGAAACTAAAACCATTCTGTTTAAGGGACAAGCTCTATTTAGGTCCCAAAGTACCAGTAAAAGTTTAGTACTACGACTATCATCTGAAATAATAATCTGTAACAGCTAATTTTTTCAGTGTAAGCCCTCCCCTGCAGTGCAAAATATCCAGACGAGAGCCTACTCTAGCACAAAGGGGACCTTACAACCGCAGCAGCAAGTATGAGACTCATCAGACAAAGGTTCTGTTCACTGCTTGACTTTATTTTGTGTTAAACAAGCGAACAGCATACAAGTTAGGAAGTTAGAGTATGTCACTTTCAAGCCCAAAGGCAGTGAATTTATGTTACATCAGATAACCCACAGTAATTGCTTACATGCATGATTCTGTCCTGTAGTAACTGAGACTGCTCCTCTCTCAATGAAAGAAGGGTGAGCCATTACACATATACTGTGAAGTGAAAGCAGATGTTGGCAGGAATACACACACGCATATATATATGCCTAGAGATTAGAATTTCTTCATAGATTTTATCAGCAGAGCTCACAATGTTCCCTAAAACTACTCACAACCTACTATTGATCATAAGACCTTGTTTTCAATTGTACATAATTCTGCAAAATTAAAAGGCATTTGTTTGGGGGCTTGCCTGTTTGTTTTTAATCAAGAGCTTTAGTAGTGGATTTTTGGGAAGGGGGTTATTCAGCTAAGACAATTCAGCTGCTGGGGAGAACAAACTTAGGATATGTTACAAGCAAATTTTGAAATAACGAAAATAAAAAATCCGCAGAAGTATTAGCCTATGTTAATCATGCCATATTTGGCAGGTTCTCAACTGGAAACATGATGAGACCTCTGTCTGAGATATACCTTTTGCCACCCTTGCAAAAAGTAGACTGGGACAGGACATATGCTGTGTAAGCAATTTGAAAGAGTG